AGGTTTGTATAGACATGCACCTGCTAAATGTAGTGTTAAATTGCAAAATGTAAATTTATATATATGGAATTTATATACAGGAGTTCTTCCTTATTCACAGGAGATACTTTTGAAGACCCCAGTGGATGCTTGAAACAACAGATAGTACCAAATCCTGTATATACAGGCATACATTGCTTTATTACACTTCACAGATACTGTGTTGTACAAATTGGAGTTTTGTAGCAACCCTGCCTCGGGTCTGTTGGTGCCATTTTCAAACAGCATTTTTACTCACTTCGTGTCTCTGTGTTACAATTTTGGTAATTTTCACAAATTTCAAACGTTAGTGTTAATTTATTATGATGATCAGTGAACTTTGTTACTATCATAACAGCTCAGATGGTGGTTAGCATTTTTGAACAATAAAGTATATTTTAATTAAGGAATGTACTTTTTTTTTAGACATAATGCTATTGCACACTTAATAGATTATAGTGTAAACGTAACTCTTATATGCACTGAGAAACCACAAAGTTCATGTGACTCACTTTATTGCAGTATTCGCTTTATTTTGGTGGTGTGGAACCAAACTCACAATATCTCCAAGGTATACTTGTACTGTTTTTTTCAATACATACATCTTTATGATAAAGTAGAGATTAATAATAACAAATAATAGAACAATTATAACAGTACTGTAATGAAAGTTGTATGAGTGTGGTCTCTCACTTTCAAAGTATCTTATTAACTGTAACCTTTTTGTGATGATACGATGCCTATGTGATGAGATGAAGTAAGGTTGAGTGACGTAGACATTGTGACATAGCATTGGGCTACTATAAGGGTTACTTGAACACAAGCACTGTGAAACCCTGACAGTGAGCCTGGTAACCAAGATGGCTACTAAGATTAATGGGCAGGTAGCATATATAGTGTGAATATGCTGAACAAAAGGATAATTCACCTCCCAGGCGGGATGGAGCAGAAAGTACGAAACTTAATCCTGCTACTCAATGGCATGCAATTTAAAACTTATAAATTGTTTATTTCTAAAATTTTTTAATTTAATATTTTTAGGTCATGGGTGAGGGGGTACTATTGTACCTGTATTTATTGTTACTATGAACTATCCAAGAAGACTATCAGGGATTTTTTTGGTTGTTTATTATTTATGCCTATAGCACCTGGTATTCCTAGATGGTCTCCCATCCAAGTACTAACCAGGCCTGACCCTGCTTAGCTTCTGAGGTCAGACATCAGGCTTATTCAGGGTAGCATGGCCATAGACCATGGACCATGGCTCCACTGGGGTGTGAACCCAGGACCTTCTGTGTGGAAAGCAGACATGCTAACCGCTACACTGTGGAATCATGTCCACGAGCAGGTTTCTTAACAGGAAACCTTTTCATATAGGTTTAGAAGAAAGTTGTTGATGAATGTAAATCAGCTGCCCTAGCACAAGCTCATTCGTTATATGTAATAACATTATGCCATTGACTCATTGAGTCCAAGTTTTCCTGGTTTATCTAGTCAGACTTCAGTTGTTATTTTCTATGAAATTTGCCTTAGAGAACAACTGAGGAGGGCGAAGATGTGCTATATGCCTAACCCCATTGTAGAAGAACTCTAGGATAATTAAGGTTGACCTAGTTGGCCTTAAGGTGCTTACAGTTTTTTCACCAGTAACCTAGTCATTCAGTAAATTACAATAGAAACTGAGGTCACTTGTGGGAATGACTAAGTAACACTGGGCATCATGATGTAGGTCCTGATTCTCAGAAGCTTTAGAAGCTAGATAATCTTTTGAAGGAAATTAACTTCCTCTGTGGGTAAACTCAAGAATTTTGAATGAAACTCCTTGAAAGACTTATAAATTACAGAAAGCATTAGAAAAGCGTTCAGAGAGCAGATTTTTCTTGGGGAGGGTAGTGATTAAATCATGTGGGATACTGTATTCAAGAAATGGGTGTATACACTGTGTGAAGCACTGGAGATAAACTTGAGAAAAAATATTTACTGCCAAGAGGTAAGAGTATCTTATAGCCAGTATAAACCAGCTGTAGTATAATGAATACACCATTTTTATGTTATTCTATATAAATCCTTTAATTGATAGAACAAACACTTAATGAGTACCTACTATAGGTTAGATATCTAGGCCTTAGTAATAGAGCAGTGAACTAAACATTAAAATTCTCTTATAGTGTTTATGTTATAATAGGGAGAGATAAACAAGAATTACATCAGGTGGTGGCAGTTATTTTAGAGAAAAATTAAGCAAAGGGAATATGTGCGTGGTAGGTTTGAGTTTGCTATTAAAATGAATTGATCAGGAAAACTTGACTGAGAAAGTGTAATTTGTACAAAGACCTGAGGTTGAAAAGGAAACAGCAATGTATATAACTGGGGAAAGTGTTCCAGGTGGAGGAAACAGCAGATACAAGTACTAAGGCCCTGAGGCAGGAATATACTTGTTCAAGGAGAGCAGTGCAGCTGAAGCAAGTGAGTGTGGGAGGAAAGTAGTAGGTTCAAAGTGTTGGAGAGGTTGGGCAGATAGTCAGGACTATTATTTCTCCAGTTTTTACAGTTGAGGAAACTGAGGCACAGAAGAGTATCTTGCCTAAGCTGTGCTATGTTGGAGGCAGCATTTTAACAAAGGTTAGTTTTACTCTAGAATCCATGCTCTTTGACAGTATTCCTTAAAATAACATTAGTATCAGCCCTGCCGGGTCCAGTGTCACAATGAGTAAATATATTTATCCAGTATCCAAACAATAGTAACAGCATACTTTTTGGGGAGTTGGTTCATGCTAGACACTGTTAATAACATTACCCTCAGCAATCCTCACAACATGCTTTGAGGTAGGTGTTATTATTTTTATATTCTCCATTTTATACAGGAGGTACCTGCAGATCAGAGAGATCTTAAACTTGCCTAAGTCCACACAACCAGTAAGTAGTGGGACCTGAATTCAAACCCAGTAGTCTGGCTTTAGTTTTTTGCCATGTGGTAATTTTCTCATGTTCTCCACACCCCCTTACTGTCAACTAAAAACTTTTCAAGCATATCTCCGTGTGTCCTTTATTGAATATAGACCTGGCTGAAGAGCCAGACTCTTCTCCAGCTTCTGCTGTAATGGTAGTGTCATTACAGACAACCTGTCCAACAACCTAACCTTGCAGTTCCTGGGCCTCTGACTCCAGTGAGCCTGTGACTCTGTCTCAACCATTCTCTTCCAGAATCTTACTCTATCTTTTCTCCTGGAATTGGCCCTGAGATCTTAAGCTCCATTAGACCAGTTTCTTCCACAAGTTTGATGCCCTGGTGACACTTACCTGTTTACAGTTTGCTATATAGAACTATGTCTTGTCATTTTTCCCCACTAGAATAGCCTTTCCCCTTCTGGTTAATTTTTTTTACTCATTCTATAGGACTGTTCCTTATGATATTACTTTTAATCCATCTACCTTCCTGATAAACATTTTTTATCTCCCCACAATGTTCCTGCTAAACTGATAGCTGGAGTTTTTCTGATATCTCCTACAAGACGCCTTCCTTGACCATTTTCAAAATGATTTTAGGTGATCCTTCAGTGTTCTCATAATGCCCTTATTTATGTCTTTATAATAATACTTCTCAAGTGTTTCATGGGACTTTCTTTTCCACTGGACTGTAATTTCCTTGAAGGAGGCAGGTATTGGACCAGTATATCTTATTTTCCTGCTGCCTGGCTTAATGTCTACATTAAGTGTGAGTGATTTTTTAAAAATATTAAAAGACCTTAAGTGAAAAACTAATTAATTCTTAACTTGCAAGGAGCTCTTTGTAGTATATGGCACAAGTAATAAACTTACTAAAACTACGGGAGTATATAATTTGAAGGACTTGGACAAAATATATTTTCTTCCAAAAATAGTATGATGCCCTGAATACAGATAAAGTCTGGGTTTGGTCTCATAGTTTAGGATGTGATGATTTAGTATGGAGTGATTTTAAGGGGGAAAATTAAATATTGCTGTTGTAGCCTTGGTTTAACCTGGGAATGCTGAACTGTAAAGATTTAGCAGAATAATTTAGAATCATAAACTCTAACTCAGCATAGCCCAAGGATTTAACCACAAAAGCCACCTATTAATATGAACATATTTTGGGAAACTAATCTCTCATTTGAAATTGAGAGAGATTAAACAGCCCACTGAACAAATCTTGGGTTGAACCATATGAAATTGCTGACTTTGAACTATTTTTGACCTATGAAACACCCTTTGATGTGGTTCAACCTGATACCACATAATTGCTCAGTGGCTGCTGCAGGCCAAGAGTCCTAACTCCTGGTCAGTTTACTTTGAAGTTTTAACCTTTGGAAACATCAGCCACCAGTGTACATGATGGAGTGCTTATTTTGGGTATAGCTCAGTGTTGGCTCTAGAGATTCAAAATTATGCTTCTGTATTTCAAATAGTGAAAGATTTGTCTCCCATGTATAAATGTCTTTATGTTTTATGAAAAAAGAAAATGGGATATTCTTTTGATGTTAAGTCTGTGTGGGAAATGCTGGTTTAAAATCAAGTTACCGAATGACTGTTTAAATCAATACTAACATTTTACGTGGCTTGAATTCCTTTTTTCTATTAAATATAATTATTTTAAGCTCTTCACTGTGCATTTCCTCTAATACTTTTGGTAATGGAGTTCAACCTTTAAAAACAAATTAAACTGTAAGTCACCATTCAACTCAGTTTTGCTATGTACTGTTGAAATAAATGTCTGACACCGTCACGAAAATATTTCATGTACTGAGGTGTATTTTCTCATTATTATTTTGGTATGACCCTGAATACTTGATAAATGATATGATTTTAAAATGTGTTTGATACATTTATAGGACAGAAGATGCCAATAATTCTGAAAAGAGTGTAAATGAAGAAAATGGAGAAGTATCAGAAGACCAATCTCAAAATAAGCATAGTCGTCACAAAAAAAAGAAGCATAAACACAGAAGTAAACATAAGAAACATAAACATTCCTCAGAAGAAGACAAGGATAAAAAACATAAACATAAGCATAAACATAAGAAACACAAAAGAAAAGAGGTTATTGATGCTTCAGACAAAGAAGGTATGTCTCCAGCAAAAAGAACTAAACTTGATGATTTAGCGTTGCTGGAAGACTTGGAAAAACAGAGAGCCTTGATTAAAGCTGAACTTGATAATGAGTTAATGGAAGGAAAGGTCCAGTCTGGGATGGGGCTCATATTACAAGGTTATGAGTCTGGCTCTGAAGAAGAGGGGGAAATTCATGAAAAGGCAAGAAATGGAAATAGGTCTAGTATTAGATCTTCAACTATAAAGGGGAAACTTGAACTTATGGACAATAAAAATAGTACAAAAAAGCGAAGTAAAAGCAGATCCAAAGAACGGACTAGACATAGGTCTGATAAAAAGAAAAGTAAGGGAGGTGTTGAAGTAGTTAAAGAGAAGACAACCAGGAGCAAATCAAAGGAGAGGAAAAAGTCCAAAAGTCCATCCAAAAGAAGTAAGTCTCAAGATCAAGCAAGAAAATCAAAATCTCCTACCCTTAGAAGACGATCTCAAGAGAAAATTGGGAAGGCCAGGTCTCCTACTGATGACAAGGTTAAAATTGAAGATAAAAGTAAGTCAAAAGATAGGAAAAAGTCCCCAATTATAAATGAAAGTAGAAGTCGTGATCGAGGCAAAAAATCCAGATCCCCAGTTGACTTAAGAGGTAAATCCAAAGACAGAAGGTCACGATCCAAAGAAAGAAAGTCAAAACGGTCTGAAACTGATAAAGAAAAGAAGCCGATTAAATCTCCCTCTAAAGATGCTTCTTCTGGAAAAGAAAATAGGTCACCTAGTAGACGACCTGGTCGTAGTCCTAAAAGAAGAAGTTTGTCTCCAAAACAACGTGATAAATCAAGAAGAAGTAGATCTCCACTTTTAAATGATAGGCGTTCTAAGCAGAGCAAATCACCTTCTCGAACTCTGTCTCCTGGTAGAAGAGCCAAGAGCCGATCCTTGGACAGAAAACGAAGAGAACCAGAAAGAAGACGACTTTCTTCTCCAAGGTAACTTGTTTTCAAAATGTTAGTGCTTTTTACCAGTGCAGTAGATTTTAAAGGAGAAACTAGAACTTGTGGACAATAAAAGAAGAGATGGTAATGAGCTTTAGTTTTCAAGTATAATCCATTCCACTAGCTATATTAATATTTGCACTTTTGTCAGTGTGTATCTTGATTATGAGTAGTTGAACTTAGTGACCGAATCAGTTTTTTCCCCCAACTCCTTAATTTAGTATCTAATTTGCAGACTTAAATCTAAGTAATTTGATTGATAAAGCTAGATATACCTACTTATGGGAAGGGGTCAGTTTTTGGAGTTGGGATTATTACTTCATTGAACACTATAGACTGAAATTTTTAACTTTAAAAAAGGAAGTATCAGTTTTAAGGATTGATCTGTCTGCCTTCTTGAAGTGGCATGATTTTGAATTCTAACAACATAAATTGGAACTATAATTTTGGCCCCAAAATATAATGAAATTGAAAGTGGAAATTTTTTTCTGTTACTAATTCATATACTTATAATCTTATTTTAAAAATACCTCTTAAATTTAGAAAGAATAGTGTAAGAAATTATTTTATTTTTTACCAGTAACAATGAAAATAACTCATATTTGTATAATACATTTGGTCTGTCAATTCTTATAAATTGTGATTCTTTCCTCATGAGGTAGAGTGACTGTCATACTTAGTTTATAAATGAAAAAGTATTTTGAGAGGTTATTTACTAGGATTATAGAACTAATAAGTAGTTAAGACAAACGATTTTGTCAGAGAGAGATGGGGAGTTGCTTAAACTGCTTTAGAAACAGATTTTTTAATATCTTTATATTCAGTAATGACATGTGAAATTATTGGCCAATTTTCACTTAAAATAATGTTGGCTTTTTTTATGTAAAGATATTATGAATTCTTAGCCATTTACTATTGCATATTAATATTTACTGTATATGGGTACAAATAATAAGCTAAAGTTTAAATCATCTTTTCTAAGACATTTCAAGAATACTTCTCAAAGTACTCTATCTTAAGAGATACTCTTGATTCTTTACTTCTAAGAGACATTGTAATGAAATGGCCCCCTTTCTTCTCTTAGCTTTTCTGCATTGATGCATTTGTTAGTGTTGCTGATAATGTTATCTGAAGTGTTTCTTAAATAATCCTGGTCTCTCAATTTGCTTTTAGTTTGAGAAGGAAATTTTGAAGGCTATATTAAGGACTAGAGTTGAATTTTTGAAACCAATAGAGTTTTTTAATTATAGAAGAAATACTAAAGAGAAATTCAGATAATGCAGAAGCATGTAAACTCTCTCCCTCTCTATTCTTCCTCCACTGCCACTCGTAAGAATAGGTCTTTGCAGTCTTTTTCCTACGCCCATACAATTACACAGTTTTGTCTTATAAAATGGAGTCATACTATTCATGTTAACAGTGATTTGCTTTTTTTCATCAAACACTTCTGTAATAATACATAAAGATCTTTTTAAATTTATAGAACAGCAACATATTTCACTGTGTAGATGTGCCAGAATATAATCATTTCCTTGAAATTGATGAAAATTTAGGTTGATTCACGTTTTTCATGATTGTATGCAAAGATGTCCATGGTTTATGCGTGAGGTTTCTTGAACAGATTCACAGAAGTGAAATTGCAAAGTCTAAAGTTATGTACATTTACATTTTAGAAAGTTACGTCAAATTTCCTTCTAGTAAATTTATACCAGTATATACTTCCATGACTAGATGGACTATCCTTTTCCCCAAACCCTTACTTATATTTCCTCTGTTTTAAGGTTAATGTTGATTTAAGATGCTATGGTATGTAATCACCATGTTAAAAATAACTATTGCAAAAATGTCAAAATTTAGAAATAAAAGTCTTTAAACTTAGAAAATGGAATATTATTACCATTCGCGGAAGTTTTGAGATGTTTACCTGGAATTAGAATCAGTGGCTATAACAGTATGAATAATCGTTATAATCTTTAGTAATACTTCAAATTGCGAGACAAGAGTAAATAGACTTTTTATTTTGTACCTGCCATTATACCGCAGTGTCATGATCATTTGAATTTGTTTTGTTACAAAACATGTTAATTTGTGTTTGCTATCTGTAGCATGCCTTTTTTTTTTTAATATCGTGAAATTTTATTTTTAAACATGTATTTTAACAAACATTTTGGATGGGCGGAATTTTTTTTCCAATAACATTTTTTCATGATTCCAAAAGTTATAAAGATTAATTATAGAAAATCAGAAAAATATCTAAAAGCACAAATAAGGATTTTAAAAAATTACTGTAATAGCATGCCTTTTCTTAAGATGTTCATTGCATGTAGGAGAGAGTAATTTATTTTGATGTGATTTATTTTTCTATTAACTTATATTTGGTCCCCTTAAGAACGCGACCTCGAGATGATATCCTCAGTAGACGTGAAAGATCAAAAGATGCCAGCCCAATCAATAGGTGGTCTCCAACCCGAAGAAGAGCAAGTAGATCCCCCATTAGAAGGAGGTCTCGTTCCCCACTCAGACGTAGCAGGTCTCCCAGAAGAAGAAGCAGATCTCCTCGGAGAAGGTAAACCTATGTTATATATGTTATTCTTTTGATTCATTAAACTGAATGTTTTTGCAGCTCCATATTAGTTCAGTTGGTAGATTTTCTAAAAGACCATTTTTCTCTGAAAAATTGTAGCTGTGATCCCATGTAGTTTCCGTCTACCAATGTGTAATATTTCACACTCGTTGATTTTTCTTTAACATAGTTTTCTTTCAAATATGAATAAATCAGCATTCATTAAAAACTCAGTCTTTTAAAAGTAGAATTTTTTTCTCTTTTTTAAGAGAGATAAATACTAAGTGAGCTAAACTTGGGATTTTTTTTTTTCAGGTAGCAGAATAGATCATAGGGTAATGTATAAGCAGTCCTATTTCCTGTCTTACAATTCTGTGTTTATTTTTCTGTTAATTTGTATTTGGTCCCTTAAGAACACGACCTCGAGATGATGACCTATTTAATTCACAGTAGAAAACATTTTATGTAAAACATGATCACTAGTATAGTTGATCAAAAAGGTTGGTTTCTAAAGCAGGGAATCAATTTAAAAATAGCACATGCACATTAAATATTTTAACCTAAATCACAAATGGATTTGCCAATCTTTTAACATTTTTAATTGAATTAATAAAGGAATATAGTTTAAAGAGACAGTACACCAAAGGTTTATAATGCAACCACTATATATATCTATACATATCTTTGAGTATTTTGTATACTAGATTTTTAGAAATAGAAATACTTTGCCTAAGTGTGTGTATGTTTTAAGTTTTTTAAAGTTATTGCCATATTATCTATTAATTTCCTACTTAGGACAATTAGTTTTTTATATTATCCTTCACGTTTCTCTTCTGCCTGATTTCATCACCTTTCTGTATGCTTTTAGATATAATCATTATGAGCATAAGGATATTGTTGATTGCTGAGCAGATGATCCAGGGAACCTCCATTCTAATGCTCCTAGCCTTCTGGCTCCAAAATGACCAATAAACCTGCTTATACAGTTGTCATTGTATTATTTGTCTTCCTTTTTCCATCCTCTTGGCATTCCTTCATTTCTCTTTTATATTTTGATTCCATTTCCCCTATCCAGTGTTTACTCGTGTTTTAGCTCTTTGATTTGGTTTGGTAATCCATCTCCAATAACTTCCTGATGAAAGTGCAGTGAAAGGACATTTTTGTAAATTTATGTCTCTAAAATTTGCCTTTTCTCATTGCTGGTGTGTCAAGGAATAGGATTCTAGGTTGAAATCATTTTTTCCTTAAGAAGTTTGAGATTGTTATTTTACTCCTTTCTAGATTCCCATATTGCTATTAAGAAGTCCTATTCTGATGTCTGGACAGTTTTTATAGGACTTGCTTTTTATCCCTGCTCCCTCTTTTTTTTTTTTTTTAACAATAAATGTCTTGTGTTTTGAAATTTCACTATAATGTGCTTTATTGTGTGGCTTTTTCTTTCCATTTATTTTGTTGGGCATGAGATAGGCCCTTTAAAGCAGGAACATTATGGCTGCCTATTCTAGGAAATTTTCTCTTTTTTTTTTTTTTTTTTTCTGTTTGCTTTTTTTCTCATTGTTTTCTGGGGATTTTTTCCCCCCATTAGACCATCTGTATTATTCCAGTGATCTTTTTGTTTTTCTCATACATCTTTTATGTTTGTTTAATTCTACTTTCAGTCTAGGAGATCGTTTCATTCTTACCTTCTTACTCTTCTACTGATTTTCACTACTGAGCTTATATATATTTATTTATTTATTTCCAAGACCTTGTTGGCTGTTTATTTTTTTATAACATTTTACTTTTGTTTTATGGAAATAGCACCTTTTATGTCACAGATGATAATGAATTTGTTTTGTGGTGTTCTCATAGTTTTCTTTATAGTTTTCTTACCTATACAGTTGACTCTTGAACAACATAGCAGGGTAGGGGCATCAAAAATCCACCTAACTTTTGGCTCTCCAAAAACTTAACTCTTAATAGCTTACTTTTGACTGGAAGCCTTACTGATAACATCAACAGTTGATTAAAACATGTTTTGTATGTCATATGTATTATATACTGTATATTTACAATAAAGTAAGCTAGAGAAAAAATGATATTAAGAAATCATAAGGAAGAGAAAATATTAAAAATCTATGTATAAGTAGACCTGTGCACTTCAAACCTATTGTTCACGGATCAACTGTATTTTGGTTTCTTCTCAGATTTCTTTCGCTGCTTATTTACCTTTTCATTCGATGACTTTCCTCAGATACCTGATCCTTCCTTACTGCCTGTTCTGATTTGAAAGTTAGGCACTGAGACAGCGGAGTAGAAGCTTTCTTCCATTCTGATGATGTAGAACATGTGGATTAGTGGTATCACTTCAGGGTGATTAGGTAGAGACTTTAACTTATCAACAACTATGTATCTTTCCTTTTGGGCTAGTGAGTTTCCAGAATCCTTCATCTCCTGCTGGAGATTATAGATATGGTTTACACTAGAGTTCTGGTCCTTCGTAATGTAGATTTCATCTTTTTTCCCTCAAATAGAGATAGAGGTCGAAGGAGCAGATCCCGGCTGAGAAGGCGGTCTCGATCACGAGGTGGTCGTAGACGTAGGAGCAGAAGCAAAATAAAGGAAGATAAATTTAAAGGAAGTCTTTCTGAAGGAATGAAAGTTGAGCAAGAATCTTCATCTGATGATAAGTAAGAGTGGAATTTTTGTGTAATTATCTTTCTCCAATTTAGAGAAACACTGTTAGACTTAAAAATCTTTTATTTTTAAATTAATATTTTGAATATTATCAGCAAGCTTGTTCATTTGGTCTTGTATTTAAAAGTTAATCTTTTGTGCATATTTTAGAGGTTATATGGCAGAGGTCATGGTTTTCTGAATTTAGATATTTCAGTTTGGGCTGGAGTGACTTGGGCCATTGCTTTATCATGAGTTTTCCCCTCTTTATTTTTATTAGAAACAACGGATATATTACATAGTCCTGCCAATCTTAATTACCAGTTTTATAGGGGAAATTTTTATACTAAGTTTAGACTTTTTAGTTTGTGTAAAATGACACATACTTTGCTTATGAGACTATCTGGTAGCAGGTATGTCTGTTAAAATATGGGAAATGCAAAAGTATTTTAGTGTCTAATAGTGGGGAAAATTTTTTTAATGCAAACTTTAGTTGTCTAAATGGAACATCTCAAAAACAAATAAGACTCATTTAGAGCAGTAATTTCTTAACTGAGGGTGATTTGCCTCCCCATTTGGCAGTGTCTAAAGACATTTTAGGTGATCATCCAGTGGCTAGAGGCCAGGGATACTGTTCAATATCCTCCAGTGCACAAGACAGCTCCCCACAATGAACTGTCAAAATGATAGTGCTATAATCAAGAAACCCTGATTAGAGCTGAGTGATGAGAAAATTGAGTCGGGGAAAGGTATTATATATACATAGATCCTGAGGTCTTTAGAGTGCAGTTTGCTTACCCTTCTGCAGTGAAAATTCAGCAGACCATAGAAAAGGCTGCACTGGGAGGGATCATAAAGGTTGTGGAGAAGTTCTTTATTAGACAGTTGGGACTGGTCTGGGGCAGTATTTGGAGGTAGAGCCACATTCCCCTTCAGATCGTATGCAAATATTTACGTGTTCATTTTTGATGGAGAAAAGATCTATAGCTTTCAAAGGATTCTGTGACCCGGATAAGGTACTAGTTTACTAATCTCTCCCAGCCATCTTGTTTTATAGGTGTAGAAATTGAGGATAGAGGATTGAAATGACTTTACTAATACTAAGGTCATGGCAGAGCCAGTGATGACTTTTTTTAAATTTAAGGATATTTTGTTTCTAATTTTGGTGCACTGAGACAATAGACGAGGAGAAAACTGAGATACAGAGGTTAAATTACTTGCCAGAATTTCAAACCACACACACTGAGAGTTTAGAAACAGAAGTAAAAAGAGTAAAATGGCTTAAGACTTTTGCTTGAACTTACTGTTAACTTACATTTTCCAACCTTTACTTTTTAAGTGTGTAAAATTATGATTTTGTAATTTCTAAGGATGTTTAAAATTACATGTATATTTGTGTAATTTTTTTTTAAGCCTTGAAGACTTTGATGTAGAGGAAGAAGATGAAGAGGCTCTAATAGAACAGAGAAGAATACAAAGGCAAGCAATTGTTCAGGTGTGTGATTTTAGTAAAATTTTGATCAGTCTTTCTTAAATAATCACTTTTAGGAAAATAAAGGTTTTTATTTACTTTAATAAGGAAATGACAGTAGCAATTCAGTAGGTATTGAAAAATGGTAGTTTCTTAATAAAATTGAAATCTTTGCCCTTTTTAATATACATAGGGTTCTGATATAAACCTCTTGTGTAAGACATAAAATTTGAAATGTGCTTTTTTTAAGTTAATGACTAAGAAAACTCTCATAAATGAGTGTAGAATAAATTGGAGGAATTTCATTTAGCAAAAATTATGCCTATTACTTTTGAAAAAATCTTAATGTTTAATAAAATAGCAAGTTTTTTAATGCAAATGTGATTGTTTAAATGGAACATCTCAAAAATAATTTTAAGACAAGTTTGGAGCTAGGCGATTAAAAATATTGGGTAGTTAAAGGGTGTTATACATAGTTCTTGATATAGTCATTTAACGATAAGGTTAACTGCCTTGGAAGATTGTCAGTTCTTCCTTGGCCATCCTGAGATAAAGCCATGACCACTGGATTCTTTGTGGATAGCATTTCCTATAAAGTACCTTCTCTTATCATCATTAGAATTTTCTTCTAACGATGAGAAGGTGAGTGATGGGACTTGAGAGGAAGAATTCTGAAAGAAATGAAAGATGTTTAGAAACTATGAGGAGGACAGCAGACAAAAAGAACGGTCATGGCAGCTCACCTAGACACACATAGCAAACCAATAAATCAGGTAATGGTATGTCAGAGTGAAGGAAGGCTATAGGGCAAAAACTGGAGGCTGTAGGGCAAAGCTGGAATTCCAGAGAAAACTTTTTTGGGGCACTGATGAAATTATTGTTATTAAACTGATAGGCCCGAAGACTTGGTCGAATCATTTTTTGTTCTTGCCCAGGTCCACATTCCCTTATCCACAACCCTTGAGGCCAGATAGGCTTTAGAACTCAGACGTATTTGAATTCTGGAAAGGTAATATGGTGCATCAGTGTATATTAATTAGCCCCATCAGTGGGGTCTAGAACAGCACTCCATCAAATACATTAGTATTTCTTTAGTGAGGCGTATTATGTTCACACTGGGATTGATAAATAAGACTAAAGCGTGTCACATCTGTTCTGGTCAGATTTTGCCTCCTGTGGACTTTGGAGTTATATAGAAGGGATTTCAGATTTGATTCAATCGAGGCAGCGATACCTTTAAAAAAGTTTTAACTTTATTTGACTCTTTAATGCAACACCTCCTAGCAAATATATTTAGTTAGAATCAGATTTTATGAAAATAATGTTTTGTTATTACAGAAATATAAGTATCTCGCTGAAGATAGCAATATGTCTGTGCCATCTGAACCAAGCAGCCCCCAGAGCAGTACTCGTACACGGTCACCTTCTCCAGACGACATTCTGGAAAGGGTAGCTGCTGATGTTAAAGAGTATGAACGAGAAAATGTTGATACATTTGAGGCCTCAGTAAAAGCCAAGCATAATCTAATGACAGTTGAACAAAATAATGGTGAGTAAGTTAGATTTTTGTTTTGACCATGTTCTCTGAATTTTTAGCTCTATAACCTCAAAATGAGAGAGATTATTTTGGGATGGGGAAAGTGAAAGGGATTAGGAATATTGCTCCCGCTAAATTTATAGTAATATAATATTAAATGTATCCCAGTAAATGTTTTCTATAAATGGTTTTTTATTAGTTGTATAACTGGAATAGTATACCGAATTCCCACTTATTCATTATCTTTTGTTCTCCTTGCTCTGGAGTATTATTTTAAAGCAAATCATAGCTGTAATTTAATTTCATCTGTAAACATTTCAGTTTGTATCTTTGTTATATAGAGACTTAACAGTTGGTTTGAATCAAAATTCAAATAAGATGCACATATTATGTGTGGGGTATATATATATATCCCTTAAGCCTTAATAGTTTTTTCCTCATCCTCCCCCCTCTTGCCATTTATTTCTGAAGATACCAGATATGTGTCTTATAAACTGTTCTGATTTTGTCTGGCCGCATTGTGTCCTTTATTTCCTTTCTCCTCAGTATTAGTTTTAGAGACTTGAATAGGTGAGGGTTTGATTTTTTTTTTTTTTTGGCAAAAATTCTTTATAAATCATGGTGTAAAGCGTGTATTACATCAGGCAGTATGCGATATGTGGTTGTCCTAAGTTTTCCATTCTTCATTTACCCCAAAATGTAATTTGTACAGGAAAGGCAGGATAAATGCTTGATTATTTTCCTTTATTGACTGATTTTTAGCATAGAATATAGTTGGTGGCCCAGCAGCCTCCACAGATGACTTGTAAGAGTTCAGTCATTTTGTCGAGGTTTCAACTGGTATCATTTTGTACTTGTGTTTCAATCCATTGCTGTCATTTTTCTTATTGAAGCTCACATTGTTCTCTCTTCAGCTGAGGTGGGGAAGGAGCAGTCCTTCTTAGTTGGTTTCTAATGTCTTTTGACTCAAACCCTGCAGTATTTCATATAGCTTTTTACTTTCTATAGGTCAAGGTCAGCAAACTTTCTGTACAAGGTCAGATAGAAAATATTTTAGGCTTTTGTAATTATTTTAGACTTTTTCTTTGTTCCAACTACTGAACTCTGCTCTTGTAGTACAGAAGCTGCCACAGCCAGCATCGATAAATGAGCATCGCTGTGATCCCCAAACAACTGTATGGACACTGAAATTTGAATTTTATAAAATTTTCATGTGTCACAAATTATTCTTTATGTTTTTCCCCAGACCTATAAACATGTACAAATGATCCCTTCAAAAATAAGCAAGGGGCCAAATTTGGCCCAGACTATAGTTCGCTGACTTCTTTTCTATTACAGTAGGATATCACAGGCTCACCTTATACATATCTTGCCCCAGAACAGAATCAGCTATTGCTCCAAGGAATCCTAGTTCTATGTAATAGGAAACCTCATTTAGATATCACAGGGCACTTAGAGGTGCCCATTACTGCTCGGCCTTTTTAGTGGACAAGGCTGGGAAATACATACATTTCTGGAAAGGAATATTCGTTCATACTGATATTCCTGATTAAAATTTGAGATTATAGAGTTTTTATTAATTTCTTTGATTTTATATACCTTTTACAGTGAAAAATATGGTTCCAATAACATGATAACTCAGGTTATTACTTTGAAACTTTTATAACACCGAGTTCTCAGTATGATTATCAATTTTAAATCTACTGAATGCAGTTTGAAATTTAATGGTTCTTTTTGTTAGGCTGGATGCATTCCAGGGTTGTATAGTCACAAATATGTGTTGTAAAGTCATTTGAAATAATTCTCTGAATGGTTACATCACCAATTTGGTAGATTTAAGTTTATTTTCATTTGCTTTTGACTTAATTTTCTGCGTTTTTAAAAAATATTGAAACATCTTTCACATGCATGTATTTGTATTCTACCTACACAGGCACACAAAAAAAGGCCTCAGTAAAAGCCAAGCACTATACACTCATCTGTATGAAAGTTCTTTATTCTTTGTTACATCTACATACTATTCCAATGTAATGAAAGTGCCAGTTTAATCTGTCTTCTAGTGATGGGTACTTGATGTGTGTCCAGTTGTTGGCTGTTAATTGGAGTGTTACAGTAATATTGTGCATTAAGTCATTTTTTTATGCTTGCCACTTTCTTTAAGATGGTTTTCTAGAAGTGGGATAGCTGAGTCAGAAGAGTGAATGAACTTATAATTTTGTTATTTATTTCCAAATTCCTCTCTTTAATAGTTGTACAATTTTTGCTGTCCCACAAGCAATGTCTTCAGTGCTTGTTTACCCAAAGGCTTGTTAACAGAATATTGTCATAGTTTGGGATTTTTAGCTAGTCTCATAGAGAGATGGTATTTCATTGTAGTTTTAAGTTGCATTCTTTTTTTTTGTTTTCTAGAAACTCTTCCAACTTTTTTTTTGCCCATTTTTTTAATGGGGTTATTGGACTTTCTAGTAGAAAAATGTAGATCTATATCTATCAATAGTGGGGATATTAACCTTTTGAGACTTCATTTAGAAATACAATTTGGAAATGTAATTTTTTAAAGAGGAGTTTTTGTTTCAATACATAGTCATTGTTTAGCTATTGACAGATTAATTTAACATTGGCGAAAGAATTGATACTGGGTCTATCAACTTTATAAAACGGATAGCTTTATGTATCTTAAGTGTTATAAAGTGATTTTAAGCTGGGTTTTACTGAAAAACTAATGTACAAGAGGATAAAAGTTTGAATTGCTGTTAGTGATTTTCCATTGACTTATTATTTGTGCTTTAATTTATCTCTCTTAATTTTTCAAATATTAATGCTAATTTTCATTAAGGTTCATCTCAAAAGAAGCTGTTGGCACCTGATATGTTTACAGAATCTGATGATATGTTTGCCGCATATTTTGATGTAAGTAATTTCAAGTTATAAAAGCAACTTAAAAGTATAACATATGTGTTTGCATGTGTGTATATATAGAGAGAGAGAAAGTGAATTAATGTTAACATTTAGACAATGTGGGTGAAAGGTACCTAGAAACTGTACTAATTTTGCAACTTTTTTGAGTCTGAAATTAAGTACAGCAGAATAGTTTGAGAGCTTCATAAAAGTTAAACATCAAATAAAGTGTAGTTAACTTTTTTGTAACAACTTTTTTCTAGGATTTACAAACTAGTATGTGCATGCATGTGTGTTGTGTGTTCACGGTAGTTAAGTGAGACAAGGTGATGACAATAATTTCCAGGCTTTTATCAAAACAGAGTCCACTTTGGGCTTTTATGTTGTAGATAATGGAGAATTTACAGTTTGGAATCTAATAGAATTCGCTGAAGAGTTGGAAATGTTATGTGGAGTGTTAAGAAATTTTGGTCCTTTAGCCATTTTTATTAGTGCCTTTTCTGGAAAAAGTCTTAAAACTAATATTCAGAACTGTGAGGACATTTTTATTATAAATTTAAGAGAACATGAAAGATAAAGAAGCTTTAGTAAGGAGTGAAGGATAAATATGTATCAGGGAAATTAAAAATGGAATATGATAAGCAATTAGTCCCCTAAACCCAGCAGACATTGGTAATTGGTTTAAGTAAAGTGTTATATATATGTTTGTGTATATATATGTGTGTGTGTGTGTTTGTGCATATGTATACATATGTGTGTGTGTGTATGTGTATTTATTTATATGCGTATGTATGTAGCCCTAGGAGCACCAAAAAAAAAAAAATGGGTTAAGAGAGTATGAAATAATTATTGAGCCATCATTTGTCTGGGTGATACTGAAGAATCTTCTGAGTATCATGGAGAGTGATGTGTAATAAAGACTATTCAGAAGTACCAGATACTCTATTTAAAGTTCCCACACAAACTCAACTAGTACAGCCAGTGATATTTCTTGCATATATGAGAAGAAAAGCAAAGGGTGTTACATGGACAAGGCAGTAAAAGAAATGTGAAAATTAGTAAGAGAGTTGGACACTGATTGTTAACCGAGTTCCCATAAATGATTTTTGTCCTCTATCAATAACTATGGAAAATCAGATGTAGTTTTGAGTTTTTGTTGTCATTTTTAATGCCCTAGTTCTATTCCTAAAAAATTTTGAAGATACTTTGTTAATTTTTTTCCTAAGCATTATTGTAATACAAGAGGCTTTAGTCATCATGTTTCATCTGTACTGCTTTTACATAAGTGATAGTAAGAGTTTATTTAATTTGGCATAAGTTGTTTTTCTTAAATTACAGTTGGTTACACCCATTTTTGTTTGAAAGAAAGTGCTTTAAATGTCTGTGATTAGCAGGTAAACAGCTTATATTGCCTCTTTAATTTCAGAGTGCTCGTCTTCGGGCTGCTGGCATTGGAAAAGATTTTAAAGAGAATCCCAACCTCAGGGATAATTGGACAGATGCAGAAGGCTATTATCGTAAGTTCACAATTCTTATTAATTTTGGAGTTTATTGTAACATTTTGTAAGAGTATGTTGCTTGATGCAATCACACATTGAAGAACTCTGAAAGCCACATCACAGTGCCATCACTTAAAAAGTGTGATACATCTAACACATCTAGCAGCTTCTGAGCCCATGTTGTATTCCAGTAAGTAGCCTAGAAGCATCACGAATTGAAGTGAGATAAAGACTTGACGTGCGATCTAAATCTATTCACAGTTATTTTCAGCCATGAGTTAATCCTCCAGAAGGAAGGGGTACGTCACTTGCTTGTCTTGATCTGAAACCAAGAAAAACATACAAGGAACTTGGGATACCAGTCGTGCAGTATTTATCATGTAGCGCTGCAGCTGGGAACACTTCCGTGAGCACATGTCTTCCCTATTCAATGTTAAAATCATCAGCAGTTGATAAGACAGCAGAAACTCTCCTTATAATGAGTGGAAGTGAGCATGCAACTTTAACTACATAGTGAAAGAGTTAACAATGGAAGCACAGCTTTGATTCATTGTGTTGTCTAGGAAACCAAAAACGCAGTAAAGATATGGCACATTTTTTAAGTGACTGCACTGGGTTTCCTATTTTTTGATTCATTCTATGCATCTTGTAATTTTGTTTGGTCAAAATTTTAATTCTTTAATTTACTTTTTTAGGTGTGAACATAGGCGAAGTACTAGATAAGCGCTACAATGTATATGGCTACACTGGTCAAGGTGTATTCAGTAATGTTGTACGAGCCAGAGATAATGCAAGAGCCAACCAAGAAGTGGCTGTAAAGATCATCAGAAACAATGAGCTCATGTAAGTCAGAAAAGTATGTGATGAAACTTTAATAAAACAGATATTCGCAAATAAACATTTTTAAATGTTTTAAAATGTGTAACTATGTAAAATAGCAATTATAAAATGAAAGTAGCTCTTTTTGACTGGATTTTAAATTTATTACCATGTGTTATATGGGAAGTACTAGAACTATAGGTTGATTTATATTTAATTCATTTCAGTGTGTTTCAGTACCTACTATTTACACTAATATCAACTTAGACTTCTTCCTTCTACTGCTTGTCTCATGGCCATCTTTTGCTGTGAGTATCTTAAACTCAAGACCAGAGGTGAGAAATAAAAGGATCATATTGATTAGCTGCCCCTGAGCATAAGGTGGCCTACAAAAAGTGAAAACTGATTTAACAGATACTTCTGGGAATTAGTTGTATCTTTTATCTCTTTTTCCTTTAATAGAGGTAATTGTCATAATACATTCATATGTTTTAATACCTAATCTATACCACTTACTGAGCTTGTGTTAAAGTCAATTTACCATCTGTTTTGAAACACTAAAGAAATGTAGATTTATACTAAAGTCTCAGGCTGCACTAGGCTTAGAAAGTTATTTTTGTCTTGTTTTGATGGTGATCCCCAGCCTTTATTATAGACATAAAATCTTTTAAATATAGCTTATTGACAAATTATAACTAGAATTTCAGAGGATAACCAAATAGTAATATATGGTAAGACATTCCTTAATTAGACTCTTAAAGAAACTATGACTTGTATTCAGTGTGGTTCCACTTTTATTAAACATAATATTTATATCAAGTCTTGAACTAAAATGTGCAAGATTGATTTCCCTTCAAGCAAGATGCGTTTATTCCTCAGTGTTTCTGTTTTGTTGATTGGTTATTTTGGAAATTAACCTCACGAAAATAGTTATTTGGTTAAGTATAAAGTTCTTATAAAGTATAAAATGTTAGACCTGTCATTCCTCAACGGAGTTATTATTACTACTTAAAAAAATACAACCTAATACTTAACATGTCACCTACGATACGTCAGACTGGAATTAGCAAATATATATTATTGAATTTTCCTAAATTTTGGTCGTATTTAATTTTGACCTAATTTTCTTTTGCATTTCAGGCAAAAAACTGGTTTAAAAGAACTAGAATTCTTGAAAAAACTTAATGATGCTGATCCTGATGACAAATTCCATTGTTTGCGGCTCTTCAGACACTTTTATCACAAACAGCATCTCTGTCTCGTATTTGAGCCCCTCAGGTACAGTGTCAGAACTTGTATACTTAGATAAATAGTATGACAAATTTCCTGGATATTTAATTTTTTTTTCATTTAGCTCTGGTTTTTATTCTTTAATTTCTGTTTAAAACCTGACTAATTGACAATTCTTAATGTGTAAATATTAATTGACTGTATATTATGTGCCAGGCACTAATTATTTTTGGCTTTCAGCTCAATAGAAAGATTCTCTGAAAATGAAATACTTCAAGAAAAGGTTAAGCCAGAATGAAAAGAAATAAGAATAGTGGAATTAGAAATAGGATTTTGATCTTCAATAGTATGCTTTCACTGTTAGACTTTCAAATGTAAAACCATTCTAAAATCAATATGAATTTTACCACTGCATATCTTTTCTTCTATTTATTTTGAAAATTGAGTTTTATTGGAAAATTTTGTTATATGCACACCATTTCATATGCTCTCATATCAGTGTAGAATAATTTATTGAATGTGGCAGGGGGATTCTTGAATACAACATACTCATTGTAATTTGTATTTTAGACTTCTTTTACTTTGTTTAAATGTATTTTGCCTTTTTTATTTCTATTTTGCATTTTAACCCTAAATTTTTTTTTTCTCTCCTAAAAGTATGAATTTACGAGAGGTGTTAAAAAAATATGGTAAGGATGTTGGTCTTCATATTAAAGCTGTAAGATCCTATAGTCAGCAGTTGTTCTTGGCATTGAAACTCCTTAAAAGATGCAATATCCTACATGCAGATATCAAGCCAGACAATATCCTGGTAAGTCAAACTATCAGGCCACCTTATACATCACGTATCTACTTACCAGTAATGTGAGATTACCACTGTATTATTCTAGAAATGTCATCTTAGAAGAATAATTCACTATTATATTTATTTCCCGTTATAAATGACTTTATCAATTTTTACTTTTTTGGAAATTGGGCTATGAAATTTTAAAGTATAATGAAAGTAGAAAAAGGCCACTGTCCCAATTTATTCTTTTTGCTTGATGGATTTAGAATACACACAGATCCCAAGAGTGCTTTAATGTACTAATGATGCACATCCTCTGGTATCTAAAAAAAAAAATGCACATGTTGCTGATTTGAAATAAATGTTTATACTTTTTTGTTCTGTAATTTGTGCAGACTGATGGAGTTAAGGACATTTAAGGGAATTACCCTCTCAAACAGATATATGGAGTTGAGTTTAAAGGTGCCTAGGAGTAATTTTTTTTTCCTTTATTCTTTATTGCTTTAGAAGCTGTGACATCTGGGAGCCCAAACACAGTAAAGCTCAGTTGTGGTTAGGTATTATATTGAAAGGCATCCCTTTCATAGTCTAGACCTCTCCTAACTAATGATTTCTCATGTGGTAGATGCAGATTTCACAGCGTTTATGATTTTGAAAGTTAGAAATATATATCATCATAGTGGGGTGATTAATGCGCACACACACTCCTTCCCTTCCTGGTCTCATTTCTTAATCCTGTTCTATGGTATTCAGAGTTGCCATGTTTACAACTCAGGCAATTCCTGGTTCATCTTCCAGTAACATGTTCTGTACTTTTAAAAGATTAGGATCCCATTAAAGTATTTCCTTCCATGCTACCACATTAATAAAAAAACATTCCATTTTGGTATGTTTGGTCTGTGTTTGTAATATATGGCATATCTAATATAACTGGGATAGAGGAGCTGAGTAATTACAGTGAAATGGTAGGTAGAATTGTAGACTTGCCTAGTTCAATTTCAAAGTTGATTTTTATCTCAATTTTTTTTTAAATGATGAAATATATCATCCGTATCAAAAACGTTTAAATAATGCAGTTTAAAGATAATTATACAGGAAACGTCTTTGTAACCACCGTGGAGGTTAAAGAATAAGACATTTGCCAGTATCTTAGAAGCTCTTGTTTTTAAAACTTCATTGAATTTCTGACATAGAATGTTCCTTCTTCCTGGAGAAGGAAAAAATAGACATCAGAGAGCACATGGAGCTGTTAAATGAAAATCCAAAACTTTTAGCTGAGGATTTCAGCCACCGCTGTTGTAAAAGTACCACATTCCTCATGAAGGAGCATAGCCAAACTAGTGCATGTAAGTGTAGCTATCCTGCTATTATTTAAGGCATTTAAGCCAGCCCAAGAGTTCCACTAGTAGATTGTAATTTTAAAATGGTCCTCAGGTTTACTCTGGGTATTGCAACCGCATTCTTAAGTACTCGAATGCAGTTTATACTTTTAAAAGCTTTGAAAGTGCTCTTCCTTTATATGTTTTCCTGATCCCCCAGATGAAGAGAATGATTATCGATGTGGCAGTTAAAAATCATTTCTATTATTAGCTTAATTCAGTGAGTATCGTCTATAATAGACCAGTCTATAACGGTGACCAAGCTTTATAATGTCCCAGTAGAGAGTGCCTACGGCTATTTATTTAAAGTGTTATGTTTCTTTTGGGTGGAAACAGTAGGCCAAGTTTAAGTCCCAACTCGGAATTTGTGTGTGTCTCTTTTGAAGGGGGGAAGGGACTCTGGAATATGAATTATCTGCACTTGTTAATCCTGAACATGCTTCTGACTCATGAGTGGCAGCAGTCATGGGAGCAACTCCAGCCTTTCTCAGCAGATGTCACTGTTACTGTGTATGTTGAAGTATTTACAAAGGAAAAAAGAAACAAATGACTAATACAGAGTTCATGTTTTATCAGTTTTGCCAAATATAGTTAACATTTTCTTGACTAATACCTTCTTTATATTTAAAGGATTTTATAATTTTTAGACTTGAAGTGATAGCTAAATTTGGGATGGTCTGGCAGCTTCTGATGAAGAATTTTTATTCTGTTTTTGTCCAAATTTAATCTGAATCCTGCTTTCATTGCCATCATAATTTTCTGGCAACTGAAAGTTAATCTAAGTCTGATCCCTTATGAATGAACATTTTCATATTCCTTGAATTAGTAACTTGACTTTATTCAGGTATTCTGGGGATTTTTAGAAGATGCTTTGCTTCAGTGAAATTTTTCTCTTACTACCCCACCCTTTTCTAAATATCATTGGTTAAAATTAATTTTACTTTGTATTATCCCATATTTCCTCACTGGAAAAAGTTCTTTTACTAATTATAATAAAATATTTGGTAGCTCTTAATTTTTCATAATTAGGAAGTTGAGTCATAAAATAATTTAAAAAGGAATTTTTAATTGAGTAACTTTGTTCTCAGTATTGAAATAACTTCTCAAAGCCCATTATTTTTTATCTATTTGTCTTAATTATTCCTGACATGAATTAAACTTCCATGATAAAATGTTTTGCAGGTTAATGAATCAAAAACTATTTTAAAGCTCTGCGATTTTGGTTCGGCTTCACATGTTGCGGATAATGACATAACGCCTTATCTTGTCAGTAGATTTTATCGTGCTCCTGAAATCAGTAAGTTTTTTCAAATGTTCTTTTACCTGGGCCATCATATGTGCTGGAAACAGAATATTTAATGTCTAAGTACTGTTTTAATCGCACTTCAGCAGCTGCACGAGGTCATTCATGAGGAAGGGAACCATAGCACATTCATCCTCCTCAGTTGGAATGATCGTAGTTGTGACAGGAGTCTTGATCATGTCTGGCAAGAGTAGCAAAACAGTTGTGGAAAATCCTCGACTTTAGAAGACTGCTCTTGATTACTCAAGGTCTGATTATCAAATTTATGAATTGTGTGGGACCTTTATTTTTTTCTCTTCCTGTTGCCTTCGTGCAGGCTGGTTAGCACCTTTACCAAAGGTGAAATGAAAAAAAGAGAAGAAATGTTTTCTGCTCCTTCACTTCCTTTCCTACTCCCTCATTTTTTAAGGTTTTAAGTTGAAGAGTTTCTGTTAAGAATTAATGGGAAAGAACATGAAACTAATGCCAAAGTGAGGTGTTAAGATTGTGGTTATATACTTCAAGCTAAATAAATAAATGAAAATAAATAATAGTTGATTGTTTTTAATCATATATTAAAAATATTCACTTTGTTTTTAGTTATAGGTAAAAGCTATGACTATGGTATAGATATGTGGTCTGTAGGTTGTACCTTATATGAACTCTATACTGGAAAAATTTTATTTCCCGGCAAAACCAATAACCATATGTTGAAGCTCGCCATGGATCTCAAAGGAAAGATGCCAAATAAGGTAGGACATTAGTGTGAGCTTGTATTTTTTCAAGGTCTTAGCAACAGTTTCCTATAAACTGATGGATTGCTAACACATATTCATCACTAGTGGCTCTAAAACAGTTTTAGAGAGGCAAATACGTGGCTACTAAGATTCCTTTAGCTCTTTTCTCATTTCTGGTGTTCTAATCAGCCAAGAGCTATCAAAAGAAAGTAAGAACTCTTTTCCTCTTCCCCTTTAAAGTCTGTTTTTGTGTTTTTCTTTACCTTCTTGAATTAAGCAGATAGTAGGGGCCTAGAGTTTAGGGTAGAATTGGAATTGAGGAAAAGAGACTTGATGAACATAAATTTGTTAAGTATCATATATATATGGATATATATATATGTATATATGTATATATATGCGTATATATATGTATATATGTATGAATGACTGTTTCATGTGTCTGTTCGTCCAGAAGCAACAATGTTCTTGAGAGCACACCCTTAATTGGTAACAGGACCAAACATGCTTGAGAGCTGGAATGATAAAAGGTGCAGGTCAGGTTAGTTAGTTGTAAGGAAGGGCTCAGTCATCAGAGAGGGAGTGGGAGAACATTGAAAGAGGAACTGGATGTCAGTCAGTTTATTAAAGATTGGAAGTTATTTGGGAAAGGAAGATACCAAGAAAATTTACTTGAAATGACATCTTTGTGACATAAAACTCACCCTTAATACTTCAGCTGTAATATCTGTTTGATTAACACAAAGCAAGAATTTTAGGGATTTATAAAAATGTCTTGAGGGCCACATGTTAGACTTTTATGATTTCAGCTTATGTTGGACTTGTTTAGAATAAGTTACACAGAAATTAGCTATGTTGGTATTGATTTTAATAAGATTTAGCCTTTACCATTTTAGGACTATTAGAACATAATTTGTAAAATGTCATTAGCTTTCTTAACTGCTGAGAGACGCCACTTGTTTTAATAGTTTTCCCATCGAAGAACAAATGATTTTAAGTCTATGTTTAATTTCAGTTTGATACAGTGAAAGCACAATTTGATATCAGAATTGGTTTAAATCACTGCCCTGGAAAATATAATAATTTCATGTTAAATTGAGAAAACAAACCCAGAGAGATAAATCTATATTACTTGTTATGGTTAAATTATTAGTAAGCCAGACTATTTCATAGTAGTTTTGTTTTGTTTTATTTCCAGATGATTCGGAAAGGCGTATTCAAAGACCAACATTTTGATCAAAACCTAAACTTCATGTACATAGAAGTTGATAAAGTAACAGAGAGGGTAAGTCTCTTTTTAGTGTGCTAGATTAAATGATTATCTTATTAATGAATGAGCTGGCTGGGTCATATCATAGTAGGAGCTATAAATATTTTAAAACATTAAAAATAAATTATTTTTGGTGTTGGCCAATTCTGAATAAAATATATCAAGTTATGAAAAAGATGAAGAGATTTAAAAATGTGTAGTGTGAGTTTTTATTTATTTTAGTTTATATTTAGGCCCTCTCATCTTTGGATCACTTTTCTTGGTCTGGCCTCCCATCTAGCTTCCGTACAGCTGTCATAGTGACTTTAAAAACAAATCTGATCATGTTACTCTCTCTGCTTAAAAACCTATCATTCTGTTACCCTATAAGATAATATATTTAAATTTCTTAGAATGACAAACTAAGTTCTCAGTGATATGAACTCTGCCTTCTTCAGCAGTTTCCCCTCTCTGTACTGTGTAAACCCTACCATTTGATAAATTAGCTAAAGGACATGCTCTTACAGACATCTGTACCTGTGTTCACAGACCATCCTGACCTTATTTGCTTCCTGTACTTCCCTCACCCCCTAAAAAAAATGTATTCAGCTTTAAGCCTCAGATGAAATACACATTCTATATGAACCTTTCTAAAACCTCCAGGTGGAAGTAAGCACTTCTTTATTTTTGCTCCATTGTATTATGTGTCCCTAACTTTATCAGAGCACTTAATAACAATTCATGGTATCAGCTCGTGTACATGTCTGTCTATTCCCACTTCAAGGTAAGGAAAATACAGTTCAAATAGCAAGTACTTACTGTATTATTTTTAATTAATGTTTTTGAATTCTCAAATTTTAATTACTTAACTACATTTTAGAGTTCTTTTCTGTTGTCATTATGTTTACAAAATTACATTACAGAATGATTTTTTAAAAAAACTATCATAGCTAATTCAAGATTAACCTTTTTCATTTAAGTTTTTGGATTGCTTCTTGAAAAGACATGGAGAATAGAGGAAGCCACCTGAAAGTTTTAAATGAGTAGATGATAATACATTCTTACATATTAATATTTTGGTAGACTGAAAACAGTCTCATTTGTTATATGTGTTTGATTACTTTATTTAGAGATATATATTTTTTAAATTGTTTTTAGGAGAAAGTTACTGTCATGAGCACCATTAATCCAACTAAGGACCTGTTGGCTGACTTGATTGGGTGCCAGCGACTTCCTGAAGACCAACGTAAAAAAGTACATCAGCTAAAGGACTTGTTGGACCAGATTCTAATGTTGGACCCAGCTAAACGAATTAGCATCAACCAGGCCCTACAGCATGCCTTTATCCAGGAAAAAATTTAAGCGAGATGAAGAAGCTCCAAGGGTTTGAGTAATTAAATACAAAGACTGAAGAAATTTCACAGCAGTTTATTAATGTATATAAACTTATAAATATTTCTCCAGCAAATTTGAGAAAGCATGATATATTTGAATTAAAACCAAGGGTGATATTTCTTTTAGAAATGTTAGTTAATCTGTTTTGTGTCTTATGTGAAATTTCACTGTAGAACTGTTTTAACTGCCAAGACTGCACAAAATTACAGTGCTAATGTATATGGTTGCAGTTCACATAAAAGACAAAAGCATCTGTTATAAAATAAGTAGTAATACTGGGTGGTTGATTTATTTTTAGCAGACTTGGCTTCATTTTGGTCTTCAGGTAAAATGGCCAGCATAAATGCTGTTTATATTCACGTTTTCCTAGGTATGTGTGTGCAGGCCACAGCAGCATGCCCTTGGTGTAGTCAGTGCCGAAGGGAGTCTGTTCCTTCTTGAGCCTGCCTGCAGGGATGGTCTCCTCTTTTAAGCAGGTTGTGTACAACATTCAGTACACTGAAGGTAAGCTAAACCATCAACATCACTGGTGTTTTGCGATGTTATTTTATTGGAGCAATTGACAAATGAGGGATATTAGCTTTGTGGCAGAATTCCCTGCATGTGTGATAACTGATCTTGTTTTATTTTTTGGCATTGCAACTGTGGCATAGTTACAATTTCTGTTCTGTTCATCACATTTAAAATTTGAAGAGTATGCGCTTGATGGATAGAGCGCCTTCAGTGTACTGTTTCTTATTAACTTAATTTTTTTTAATCAACTTGCTATAGACTTTATATACATTTTGTTAAATACAGTTCCTAGTGACATAGAAACAATGCATAGTTTTCATTTACTAACTACAGATGTTGAGGCGTAATTCTGAAAGTCCTCATATTTAAAAGTTAGACAACATAATGAAATTTTTAACTATTTGTATGTCATTTTGAAAGTGTACTGCTTTATGGTAAAAGTGTTTTTCATTTGTTCATTGTTTTCATTATTTGTGATCATGTTGTCTTTCAATACAGGCATAAACCTTCCACTCTTGAACAAAGCAGCTGCTTTTTAAAAGCGGTAATTGCTTCTTTACCTTTTATTTCTTTTGTAAATGAAGCTTTTCTTTAAGAATGTGACTTTAAAGTGTTGTCTATTGCATAAAACAGTTGACACTCACTTACTGTAAAGTGAAGATTGTTCTACTGCATGTGAAGTGGACCATGCAGATTTCTGTATGTTCTCAGTATGCATCACTAGATAATAAAGTCTTTTGTGAACAAGGCATTTGTAGCCATTTTTAAAAATTTTTGTCTTCAGTGCTGGTAAGTCAGGTAAACCATAAATAGCTAAAAGCAACCTTTTGTTTCTCCCTTAAAGTCTTTAAAAGAATTATTTGCTAAAGATGTAAACCTAGCCAAAAGTTTATCATTTTATTAATTAGGATCCTAATTATTTCATCAAAAAGTTCTACAAATATTGTCAGCTTTCAGTGTAGTGAGATAATTCCTGTAGGTTATAGGGTGTAATTCAGGATTTAACTAATGTTTCTGCTATTTTCTCACTTTTCCTTTTGATGGTGCGGAAAGAGAAAAAAGGAAAACGGGGCACAGGCCATTCAACGCCTTCTCCAAGGGGTCTGATTTGCTGAGACACCAGCTTCACCTTCTTAACAAGGTTATTTCTGACAGCATGTGTAGATAAACATTTAGCAACAGTTTAAAACAAAATCATGTAAATCCACTTGGTTTTGCAACACAAAGGAATTCGTATTTTTAACATGATAGAAGAGAATTTTCAAAAATTTAATCTTTTCTGTTTGGGTGGTAAAATTAATTCTTGTCTCCCTGAGGAATATGGAAAATAATCAGATTTTAGGGGTTCAAATAATATTTTTAAATTGTAAATGGGATTTTTTTATTCACCCAGGCACCTAATTACAACAAGCATGCACATTTTGGTGCATTCAAGAATGGAAAATCAGAATAGCAGCATTCTTCTGGTGGGTTTTGCTCCATTTAAAGACATGAAATGAACTACAGCCAGGAAGGTGATAGATGATATAATAAGCCAACTTTGAATCTACACCCCATCTCTTCACGGTCTAGATTTACTAAAATAAATACAAGATGGTGTTCATCTTCAGGTAGAGTGAAGCCTTGTAAATGAGGCATCACGGTGCAGCTTTCTACCTTAAATGAAACAGGTAGTGATTTTCCCACCATTATTTATTTTGGTGATAAATATGCTGCATATTCAAGACTTTTGTAGTTATTTTCACTCAGTAGTTAATATTTTGATGCTTCTGGTAATTTTCATGGCTTCATTTTATATAATTATTTAAGTAAGTTAACTTCCACTAGAAACAGTTCATCTTATGCCTTCAAAACTGTTACATATTCATTAAAAAACAAAGTTGCTTGTTACTTGTTCTTTGTGTTTTAGGTGCAGCTCAGTGGAAGATGATGACAACCAGAAGACATGAGCTAAGGTTTCTGTCCTATAAAAGATTTAAAAAGAAAAAAAAAAAAAAATCCTCCATTTAATTTTTGTCTAATTTTTTAGTTTTCAGCATTATGATTTGGATTCCATTAATGTTTGGTACTTAGAATAGTAGTACTATTATAGTGTTCATTTGTAAAGTGCTTGTTTTATCATGCTTCCTGCCTCTCCCCCTTCTTCCCTCCCCTAAAATAAAAATAGTTTGTCAAATTTAGTGACGTAAAAGACTCTTGGATGGTGAGAGTCCACATGTAACATGTGGTTTTCAGTTCCTAAAGGTTAGTGGGTTTTCAATTCCTAAAGGTTAGTTCCTAAAGGTTAGTAGGGAAACAACAAACACCAAAATAGCATACATCAAAAAGTAGTCTTTCGTTTTAGGTATCTTATCTCCTTGGCAGATGCAAAAGAATAGAAACTGTAATTTTAAGAATGCTTCAACTCCTAAAATACTCTGTTCTCCAACTTGCCCTTTAGTAACTTTTCAACACATGTTGTAGTCATGGTCTTAAAGTAGACAAAATATTTAGTCATTGCCAGTTTTTCTTAAGAGAAATGAGAGGTGATATACTGTAGATCCTTGATATTCCCAAATTAGGCATTCCTACATTGATCTATTTGACAGGAACCTTGTAAGCAATCATTATATATATGATGCTATTTGAATATGTAATTTTGCTGAGGCAGGAATTTGGAACTCTACAAGACCTCTGTGAGGTGTAGGACATTTAGTAAATAATCCTTTAAAAACCTGCATTCATGTTTCAGAGTAGCTGTGTAGTTTTCAAATAGAATATTTCTCATGAAGTTTTTGCTTTATTACACTTTGGCAAAAATGATATCGAGTGATTGTCAGACTTCAGGATTCATAAGTCTTAGGACATAGCTCTCAAAGATGTCGTAATTCTTTCTATAGTTGAAGAGAATAGCTGAGATTTTAGAAAGCACATACATTTTAGATACTGTTCTAGATAGACCTTATTCTTGAAGGTTATCAGAAATTAGATTGGAATTTTGGGGCTTTGAAAGGATAGAGCATCTTGTCATAAAATTTAAGATGGTCCCAGTATTTGTATTCACTCCTAAATTGTTACTGATATCCTGTTTTTTTTATTCCCCAGTGCCTATCTCCTATCTCGTTCCACTGTACTTCCTTCTCTTAAAATAATTTTGCATTTTAAAATAATTTTTACTTTTTGTCATTATAGTTATCACTTTTTTTCCTAAAATACTCAGGACATTTTTACAATATAAAAAAATTTGTGTAATGTTTTATGGTATGTTGTAGAAGCAGTGAAATGTAATGTTAGATATGTATGATATATGCATTCCTTTTACTAAACTTGGATTTTATCATCTGTCATCATTTTGTAGCAGAACTGTAGCTACCTAGGTAGAAATAAAATCTCTGAAATGAAACAAAGGAATCATACCTGAATTTAGGCCAAACAATTAAGGAATGCCCTTTTAAATGTTGGAGATAAGAAAAAAAGCCAGAGATATTAAAATATGTAATTTCCTTCCCTTAGTTATATAGACATTAGAAATTGGGCTTCCTAACGTATTTCTTTATTCATAGTATCCTAGTTCAAGCATATATTCAACATTAATTTTATCATTCTTCTCCTAGATGGAATATCTTCCTTATAGAAATGTTCACTATAAATTCATCTGTTTTTCACATGTCAATAATAAACAATTGAGTTTAAAAATGTTTTCCAGTTATTTTGATATCATGGCATCTTTAATTTTTCTTTTTCTTCTATGTGTAGGGTAAGGGACTGTTCTGAAGAATATTTCCATTTAGTGATCAAGATATGGAAGCTGAAATCTGAAAATACTCTGTATTCTAATTATTGTATTATTTGTTGTAACTTGCATTTTAGTAGTAATATTCCTAATCGACTTATTGGGAAAACAATAAAATATTCATCTTGTTACTATATTGTCTCTTGATTTTTCTTTTGCTTGAGTTTGGTATTTTACATTGAATTTTAAAGATACCATTTCTTACCTGATTTTTCTTACATGCTGTTTCACTGATGATGTTCACTTTAAAAAGTATTCTGTGCTAAAATATGATTGAGAACTGCTGGGTGAAATTAAAGTTAAATACCCTAAAAGTTCTCAGAAGACATCTTATGTGCTGTGTGAATCTCAGAGAAGGGGAAAGGTAGGTATGGAGGGAAGTTTACAAATTATTTGGCAGAATCTGCCCTTTCACTGAACCTGCAGCTTGGAAATAGCTAATTTAGTATGATCATCCTTTCAAACATCAAATCATTTTCTAAGCAACTAAGTGCAGAACACACACCAAAAGGTGTTGTATTCTTCTTACAAGTATTTTTAATTTGGTTTTCCTGGTAGTAGATGCATAATAAGCAATGAGATAACTCCCTTTTCTCTAATGATTTAAATAAATTGGTTGAATGCAGATGGGGAGGCCTGACTCATCTACCCACTCCATTTTCATCTCAAAGAAATTTCTTCAGCTTTTAAAAACAATACTTAGGAGGGACAGTTGAGTCATGTGAATCTTTGGCATATGGAAAGCAGGATTGGAGAATGGAAGGTCAGAGTGTCTGGCTTTGTAGAATATGCTCCGCTCCACTTAGCTGGAACTACCTCCCACTGAGAGACCAGTAGACCCTAGTTTAGTCGAATCTTGATTTTTATAAGAAATGGGCCAAATTGCAGTGTCTCTGGATAGCCTTATAAAGGGCCCCGATTGTAGTTTTCTACTTGGGCTGGCAGAAGATTAGAGCTATATAATCATCTAAAGTATTTAGAGTATCGGTTTGGGAGGCTTTTGCTGCAGACTGATGAGAAAGAATCTACCTCGGTTAAGATCCAAAAAGGAGCTAGAAAAGGTCAATACTGGAGAGCTAAACATGGGTATTTATGAATAAGCCAAGTTTTTCCTGAACAGAATTACTTTATATTTCTTGTACACTTTGCCAAATGTCTGATGGCACCCTAAATAAAGTAGCCTGATTGTTTCCAGTAAGAAATTTGCCCTCACCTATCAGTTACTACCCTCCCCACCCTGAAATGCACACATTCAAAAGGACCAAAGCAATTCTTTAGTGCAGCAATCAACTTAATGGAATTTCTGACAGACTGATCCCTTATTACCTCTATCTCCAAAACGCTCCTTCCTACCTCCTGTTTTCCATCTCGCATGCCCACTCCCACTCGTAATCTTACTGAAAACCTGGATTTGTGTCTTCATTACTCCATTCCATACCTGGTGCCTGGCACATGCCTTGCAAAAAGTAGGACATGAGTTGTTACTCAGAAATCTGGCTATGGAGCCAGTGCTTGTAACTGCTGTGTCATGCGTAACAATTGTCAGTGATGGATAAAGTCCATTTCTGAAATACTTTGAAAGGTACTACATGCCAGGCAATGATTGTTCAGGATACAGTGGTGAGCAAATCAGTCATGTCCCTTCCTGAAGGTTTTACAAATAAAAGTTACATAATTATAGCCCTAGGATGAGGAGATAAAATACCAACACGTGAAGAAGGTAGAAATGAGAATGGGTACAAAGGGCAGGTAAATAAGGTGCAGGACTCAAGTTAGAACTGTTAAGAATGAGAATGAAGATAGTTGATAGGGGAAACAAAAGATTATTGCCAATTAGAATTGAGTGAAATTTTTGTAACCTGTGAAAGGGATGTTATACCACTTTGGATAATGACACTAATTGTATAGGATTTAGGTAAAATTCTATTAATAACAAGGGGTCCTGAACAGTTAAGTTTATTTTCTATTGCTGTGTTGATATAGTTCCAGAAAATTCCTTGAAATTAACCTAAAAACTTAGGCATACTCTTTTTGACCCCTGCCTCTGAAAATTATTTGAGCCTTACTCTCTTACTACAGATAGAATAGAGAACACTTAAAGTACAGTTGCTCTCAACATTTATTTGAATTCTTTAATTCATCTCCTCCATCCCTAAGTCAAATATTCCATCTTATTGTGGGAGACATCCCTAAGTCAAACCCAATATTGACTGGCTTTACATGTAGGGTAAGGGAATGAGGAGAGGGCTTTTACTTTTCATTTTTAACTTGCAGTAATATTCGAAGTTTAAATTGTGTGGCTTTATTTTAATGTTTAAGAAAAACTACTTTGAGGTCACTTCATAGATTGTATAAATGCCTAAACACTATATTGTACACCTGAAACTAAAATAATACTGAATGTCAACTCTAATTGAAAAAATTTTAAAAGATTGAGGAGGTGAAGGGGAATAAGAGTTTCAAATTTCCAAATTTCAAAGTCATGGGAATGTAATATACAGCATAGGGAATATAGTTAATAATATTGTGATGGCCTTGTATGGTGTCAGATGGTTGTTGGACTTGTGATCACTTCTTTAGGTATATAAATGTTAAATAACTATGGTGTACACTTAAAACTAATATAGTATGTTAGCTATATTTTAATATAAATCTTTTTAAAAAACCTTTGAATTCACCAACCATTCACTAAAACCAAAGCATACTATCCCCCAAAATATCCAAACCGATCAAGGCATGTTACATCCAGTTTTTCCTTTACAATGTTTTTCAAAGTGTGATCTGAGAACCACCTTCATTAAAAGTACTCGAGCCCCACTCCCAAAGATTCCGTTTCTGTAAGCCTGCAATGGAACCTACTTTTTTGTTTTCCTGATTCTTACGTGCAGTAAGCATCAATCAGATTTGTTTCCTTTTTCGCCAGTTAATGAGTTAAACTTTAGCTTAGTTTAATTTAAGATTCAACTAACCAGGGTTAAGACTTCTAGCAATGAAGAGCCTTGGGAAAAAAAAATTCCATTAACATGAGATCTGGCTGCTCTGTAGACAGTGACCTTTTCCCATTTTTCCTTGGACATCTCAAAACAATTAGATCTGAGTGGAAGAGGGTTATTCCATGCCTAAATCTATAGTTAGGCCCCAGAGAAAATTGATCTTGCTTTCAAATGACAAAGGACCTGGAAAATGATAAGTTTCTAAGGATTCATAGGAGGATTTTGAGGATCTGGTAAATAAATTAAAGGAGCAACTTTAGCTTCTAGTGGCCTAATACCCAACGGATAGGTCAAAATGACAAACAAAAGAGATTTGTGGAATTGGGAAAGGAAAGAAAAAGGGTAACAGAGTAGGAAGAACTAAAAAAAAAAAAAAAAAAAAATCACCTATAGAGGTAACTGATGTGTGTATAATAATAGAACACAAAAAAATAGCAGCAATGTCAATTATACCATTTATTGATGATGGAATTATACTGGAAAACAATCACAAAAAAAGAAAGAACAATCTTTTGAAAAGAATAGTTTACTAAGTGAAACATTTTGAAACACAACATGCAAAAGATTGTCAAATATGTCAGTATAGAAGCCCTTGGATTGATATATAGATATCTCAGCAGTGATTTCCATAAGTTCCACTCCACATCAATTCAAGTAATTTGTGTGTGTATGTGTGTGTGTGTGTGTGTGTGTGTGTGTGTGTGTGTGTGTGTGTTTAATACCTGCATCTCAGAATGATGAACTATATTTTAGCTGTGTTTCTTGGAACAGATTTGCTTACATCGAGATATATGAAAAAGTTATTTTTGCTCAATGGGTGAGCACGTATCTTTAGCTATAAATGAAGGTGATAAACAGTTTAGCTTTTGAATATAGAATGGTCTGTTCAATACTATGTTTTTTCGGTAAAGTTTCTTTTTGGTCCTTGGTGCCTTAATTTCTTCCCTCTGATTTTCAGGAAAAGACAGAGGTATGGGTGAAACTGGTATTGGAGACTTTGATGGCAGACAAGATCTTGTTGAGGCCACTTTAACCAGTGATTGAGTTGTTTGGGCAGTAGTAGGTTTGGTTGAGAGTTCCTGGCATGGATTTAAAATGGAGCTTTTGGGATTCTTAAAGTCATCATAAGTTGCCGTCAATTGTTTTGTTGTGGATGAACTTTTTAGAGATGGTGGTCTAGAATTCCATTTATATTTGCCAGCATTGCTCCAATTCCATTTTGAAGCATTTTGTTCAAGCTTGCAAGAACCAGAATTAGTTTTTCTTTTTTCTTTACTTTTATCTACACAAGTTGGCTGAAGACTCACAGAGTCAGAAAGTTTTGGCTGTCTCATTTTGGGCACAGTTTTGGAGGAAGAGGGTCGATCGGTAACTGCTGGAGTACAGAAAGTAGTTTGTAGTCTTGGCCTCTCTTTTTGTATAGTTGTATGTTGTAATCGTTCCATTTCCAGTAAACGAGTTATCAAATGTTCAATACAGCTTTCCGGAGATTCCACTGTTCCTTTCCAAGTTTCAGATTTTGAGAGGGCTAATTTGTGCAAGTCCAGAGTATTGAAAGGAGGAGGGAGAAAATCAGGATATGGAAATACTTCACTTGGTTCCTCTGTGAAAGACTCTTCAACATTTTCTATTGTTTCTGGCTTTAAGTTTAGGTCCATCTTTTTAAAATAGCTGAGTAAAGTATCATTTGCTTTTTCATTTTCTGATAAATCACTTTCATCTGTCAAATTTTCTTCTACAATGCTGATTCCATATTTTGAATTCCAATTTGGAGCAGATAAAGTTTCACCATTGTTGTGTTCTGTAGTTGAACATAAATTAATACGAGGTTCATTTCTGTCATTAAAATCTCCGTCGGCATAGGGCCAGCAGAGACCTAATGGCGTCTGCAGTCCAGGGTAAGAAACAACTTGTTTATCAACCGAAGCACTTTTTAAGGAATGGTTCAGAGTGAAGAGCCTTATGGGATTATTGGTTATGTTAAGGCCAGTTTCCAATGAAGATTTTTTGAAATCCCTTAAAAAAAATGATTTAATAATGAATGACTTGTTGACTAGGAATGAAATGCTATTATAATGATAATGAATAAGTAACCTTACTCAGACTGGTTAATGTTTAGTTCCCAATGTCATATGTGTATCTATCTGAAACAGAAATATGTTAATTTCCAAATATGCTCTAATTGTATACAACTATTAAATTGTTTAAGTATTGATTAAAATATTAACTGGTCATCTCTTTGTGCATGGACAGGTAATGAGATCATTATAACTACATATGGCTAATGAGTTATGAATGGCCAGTAGGTTAAAATTGGCTAATTATATCTATTTGCCTATGAATACACTGTACATAGAATTATGATTTCTGAAATGGAGACTATCCAACTCAAACTGAAATTATAGTGAAATGTTTATTGACCCAGAATTAGATAAAAGTAAACACTTAAAGAACATAGGTTACTTAATAAAGGCTTCTACTTTAGCCATTGTTGCTTTTTTATTATTATTTTAACAAAAAAAGGAAGCAAAACTATGTCTATTGAACAAAATTTACCCCAGATGTAGTCCATAGCATTTTCATCTGATGGTGCTCTTTTATTTTAGGAGTAATAACTCTAGGTATTATATTAAAATGAAAGCTGCAAAAAGCCAGGCCATAGAATACTGAGTTTATAGTTAGCTTTTTTTTTTTTTTAAGCTTACTAGAAATACTGACATTGAAAGATTTGATTCAGGAAGACTGGCCAAGATAGCATAGAAGCTAGATGCTGTGCTCACCCCCTCTCACGATCACACCAAAATTACAACAAAACTACAGAGCAACCATAACTGGAAGTCACCTGAGGTCTAGCTGAATAGAAGTCCTACAACTGGGGACATACATAAGAAGAGGCTGGTAGGAGGGGCAGAGATGCTAAACAACCGGTCCCACAACCATGTGTTGGGATCCAAGAACTGGGAAGGTTACCTTGGCTGCAGAGACCACTCCCCGCTCTGAGGAGTGAGGGGTCCAGGCCTCACACTAGGCTCCCCAGCCCAGGGTTCCAGTGCCAGGAAGAGAAGTCCCCACAACCTCTGGCTATGAAAAACCAGCGGAGATTGTGGCTGAGTGAAATGGAGGGCTGCAGGGATCCCAGACGCTCCTCTTAAAGAGCCCGTGCCCAGACTTACTCACTGACGGACTTGCTCGCTCTGAGTTCCAGTGTTGGGGCAGCTGCTTGACGAGCGCCAGGGACATACAGGGAGACACTGTGTTGTCGGGCTTCAGGGTGAGGACTGGAGGGGAGGCTTTTTTCCAGACAGAAGTGCTGGCAGTATCCATTGTTCTTTTGTTGAGCCCTACCCGCTCCCAGTGTGCAGACGCATACCTGAGTCTCCACCAACCTGAATAACACAGGTCGCTCCACCCAGGTGATTCCCTGAGACTCCGCCTCTCCCAACTATTTGTTATGGTTTATTCCATACAAATAGCTTGCTCACCATAGGCTGCGGACTTTCCTAAAATCTCTCAAAGGCTCACAAAACCCAAAGAATCAATATCTGGCCTAGGCATTCCCTGTACCTCTTGCTGAGCAGCACCAAGCTCGGCACTAGCGGCAGCTGGCCTTGGTTTCTGCCTTGGCCTGTTGAGGCACCTTTAAGCCCAGCACGGGTGGTAGCCATCTGCAGATTGTTTGGTAACTTTATTAGGTGATCCCGGAAGTGCACAGGCTGTGGCTGAACGTGGCCAACAGCTGGACCCCTCCCAGAAGGCCCTTAGGCCGGCACACCCAGTGGTCTGCTTTGACCAGCACTGGAGCTGGAGCACCCTCCAGGGCTTCATCTGAGGAGGACACATATGAAGGGCAGACTGGGCAGGCACCAAAGCCCTGCTAAAGTGAATCCTGCTCCATATGGTCAATCCCTCACTGGCCAATCCTCACAACCAATCAGCCCAAGGGTCAATTCCTCCCATCAAAGTACAAACAGCAACCAAGGCTCAGCTACATCAGGAGGGCACATACAACTCACACACGGGACACACCTTAAGAACCTCTCTCATCTGACCAGGGAACACTGTGCCACTGAGCCCCAAAGGACATCTACTATATAAAGTCACTCTACTAAGACTGGGAGACTTAGGAGCCCTACCTAATACATAGAAACAAACATGGGGAGCGGGGGTGGGCAGCCAAAATAAGGGACAAAGGAAGATGTCCCACATGAAAAAACAGAACAAAGCTCCAGAAGAAGAACTAAATAAAGTGGACTCAAGCAATCAAACGGATGCAGAATTCAAAACATTGGTTATAAGGATGCAAAAGAAACTTAGGGGAAGAGTAGATGAACTTAGCAAGAATTTTAATGAAGATATAAAAAACATGAAAAATGGAGATGGAAAACATAAAAGGGAACCAGTAAGAAATGAAAAATACAATATCTGAGATGAAGAGTCCTTTAGAGGGCATCGACAGAAAGGGAGACACTGTGGATGAAGTGGAGGATCAAATCAGTGATTTAGAGGACGGGGTAGCAGCGAAAGACACCCAATCGGAACAGCAACAAGAAAAAAATCCCCAAAAGTGATAGTTTAAGGGACCTCTGGGACAATATAAAGTGTAACAACAATTCACATCATAAAGGTACCAGAAGGAAAAGAGAGCAAAAAATTGAAACTCTATTTGAAGAAATAATTTCAGAAAACTTCCCTAACCCAGTGAAGGAAATAGACATACAACCCCAAGAAGTTCAGAGAGTCCCAAACAAGATGAACCCAAAGAGGCACCAAGGCACATCATAATTAAAATGCTAAAGGTTGAAGACAAAAAGAAAATCTTAAAAGCAGCAAGAGAAAAACAATTAGTTACAAGGGAGCTCCCAGAAGACTGTCAGCCTATTTCTCAACAGAAAATTTGCAGCCAGGAGGGCTTAGCACAAAATATTCAAAGTGATGAAAAGCAAGGACCTACAACTAAGATTACTAAACCTAGCAAAGCTATCATTTAGAATCTAAGGCCAAGAAAAGAGTTTCTCGGACATGAAAAAGCTAAAGGAGTTCATCATCACTAAGCCAGTATTACAGTAAATGTTGGAGGGATTTAAGAAGAAGGAAAAAATATGTATCAAAAATATGAATAAAGAATGGCAATAACTATGTATCTATGAACAGGTACTTCAAATGAAAAAAGAGTTAAATGCTCCAATCAAAAGATAGGGTGGCTGAATGGATAAGAAAACAAGACCCTTATGTAGGCTGCCTACAGGAGACGCACTTCGGATTAAAAACACAGACAGACAGAAAGTAAAGGGATTGGAAAAAGATATTTCATGATGGACCTGGAGGGCATTGTGCTGAGTGGAGTAAGTCAGAGAAAGACAAAGTTCGTATGATGTCTCATACGTGTGGAATCTAAAGAACAAAATAAACAACGACACACACATATAAAAAATCATGAACAAAATCATAGATACAGAGAACATTTTGAGGGTTACCAGATGGGAGAAGGGGTGGGGGGAGTTAGTGAAAAAGGGGGAAGGGATTAAAAAGTACAAAATGGTAGTTACAAAATAGTCGCGGAGGTATAAAGGATAGCATAAGGAATATAGTCAATAATATTGTAATAACTATGTACGGTGTCAGATGAGTACTAGATTTACCCATGGGGTGATCACTTTGTGAGATATATAGATGTCTAATAACTATGTTGTACAGCTGAAACTAACATAATATTGTATGCCAACTATAATTGAAAAATAAAAAAATATTAAATTTCTCAAAAAAAGAATGATTTGATCCCTTAATTGACTTATATTTATAGTCTCACTATCTTCTTGCTACTTTTAAAGCCAGTTTACATTAAAGAGAGCAAAGTAATCTTGAAAGATTTTTAAATACTTTCATTTCTATGGAAAATGATAAATATTCATTTAGCTAAAAAAATAGGTATACTGACTTGCCTTTGAAAAACCACAGGAAAATTACTTTAAATTTAGAATTGATAACAACACAATCCATGCACTATAGTAAAAAGAGCATAGAATCTGGAGGCAGAAGACCTAGGTTTGAACTCATTTGCCCCCAGTGAGCTAAATACCCAGACAGTTATATAAACATACTTTGCAAAATATTAACTCTAAATTAAAGTTATCATTACTTTTATCCTCTTTACTTGTTGATGGTATATTGAGGACAAAAATCTCAATATTTCACTTCCAACTCTGCAATGTTACTAGGCTTTCCTAGTATTAACAGTGAATGCATATCAAACACATTATTCAGTTTAGTCTTGACAACAACCCCATGAGATAGGCACTTTTACTTTTTATTTTTATGGAAAAGAAAACTTGAAGCAAGGCTGGTTAAGGTCACACATCTAGTGAGTGATGGAGCTGGGATTTAAACCCAGGTGATGGGGATCCCATGTCTATGATCCTAGCCTGCACTCTACTGACTCACTTTATGTTTGCTCTTCTGTATGATAGAATTCAATTAATTTCATTTAACCTCTTACCTTGAAATCCCTGTTCCCAATTGAGCTCTTTCTAGTAAAAGTAGCCTTTCCTATCCCCACCAGCAACAACATTCCCTTAGGACATTAGTCATTACAATTCCTTTAGCGCTTCTTGGTTTTGCCCCTCAAATTTGAGCATTAGGTGAGTTTATCCTGAGCCTCTGACTAAGAAGATAGCTACTATCAAGTGAACCACTCTAGAGTCAAAACTGGGTACAAAAGAGAGGACTAGAACTCAAGCTCTCCATTAAATAATACACTGTACGTAAAAGTGACACATAACAGTGTTCAATAAATGTTAATTTCCAAATAATAGTAACCTACTTTTTAAAGAAGCATTATAGTTGATTCTAATGCACACTAAAGATTAAGAAACAAAAAATAAGAATTCAAATTCAAGTAAGGTCTGAGAAGCAATATATTATAGTGATAATGAGCATGAACCAAGTTACTTTTTTACATTCTGGTGCTACCATTCATTAATTGTATGCCTTTGGGCAAGTTATTTATTATCCTGCCTCAATGTTCTCATCTATAAAACAGGGATGATGATAACAGTACCTACCTTATAGGATTGCCGTAAGGGTTAAATGAATTAATACATATAATTAATTAAAACTGTTCCTGGCACATGGAGTATTACTTTCCTATTACAATTTATTTTCCCTTCAGTGAGAAGTCCAAACTCTATCCATCTAAACCCTCATTGTAATTGCACCATAAACTCTCAATTACCAATATATTGATTACTTCTGTGGTGTCTGCCAGACATTTCCTATTTAAGGATGAGCTTCTACAATATTCCATTATTTGCACTCAACACTTTTTCTTCTGGTTGTTTTTTGTTTTAGTATTTCAGATGAGTATTTCAGATGAGTTAACTCTTCTGTACTTAAATTTATTTCACTAATTTAGGGATTTATGAAAATGCTCTCACCTGGTCTCCATGGTACTTCCTTCATTAAGAGGATAACTCCAGAACTGAAATAACCCTTGATTACTATTCTGATAACAGAAAAGCCATAAAAAAACATTTTAGTAACTGCATCCACTTTTTAAAAATAATACTTTAGGAAAATAGTATGATGAATAAAATCCCACCTGTGTTCTTTTGTGAGCATGCTCTGATAAATTAAGTTCTAGCATCAGCTGTTCTACTGGAATTTCCAAATGGCTCTATAAAGCAGCAAAAGACTTTTAAACAAAATATATCTCTGTTCCTTACTGGTTTGTGTTCTAAGACTGTATAGTTATTGTTGTAACAAAGGAATATATAGTTCCAACCAAGGAATATATAGTAAAATCCTATAATACTCCCTTACATACATACGGATATAATTTTTTTTTACTGATTTCAGTAGGAATTAGTATAATCTTATAAATACCAACTAAACAGTGTTAACTAATGAATCTTGAATATCATTAACATTGTCTTTATTTTACTAACAGTTAAGTGTTTTATATTTTGATCAAAAAAGGTAAATGAAAGATTTTCTCACTACTTCAAAACAAAGTATCAACCATTTTAACTGCTTCAGGTATCTTAAAAGCTGTGACTATTTCCCTTTTGGCAATGACTAGAAAACACAATATTTATTACAAAGTTAATGTCCATTTATAGTTCTGTTATATTGAAGAAAAACTTAATAAAATATTAATGACGAAGTTGCAGCCCTGTAAAAAAGCAAAAGTCTGTCTTGATTGAAGAAGTCTATAAAAATGAAATTTAAAGTTTAACTTTGAAAAAAATTTTTTTTAAAGAACATACATATAATTTTAAATAATATTTTGTGAATTATTTAAAACCAAACATTTATCCTTACCTTGTTAATTTTATCTGAAAGAATGTATTGGGGAAAAATGACAATTAATAGTTACATAAAACTGCTTACATTAAAAACAAACCCCCTTTAATGTGCATGATTATTCATATTATAAATATGAATATAAATTTTCCTATATCTATAAATACAAGGATCAATATACACATCTAGAATTTCTTACCACCTGCTTCAATATCCCTTCTGGGTGGGAGGTTTTTATTTTCAGGAACAGGTGCGTCTGAATCCAAATTCCAGTGAGATAAGTTCTAAAACAATATTTTTTTTAGGATACTCTTAATGTTAAGAAAATGTTAAAAGCTCAAATACATAATTTTACATGTCCTTTGGGTTGAGTGTGACAAAAGGCACAAAGCTTCAAGACCACCTCTCCTTCCTATAAGGATACTACCAGCATATTTGAGGAACATGCAATGTTCTCTTATCAAACTAGTATCAGCTTGATAACACTAATTAATCAGAAAATGGAAAGGCTTTTACAATTTATGGTTTCATTCTTATTTTGTTCAAAATAATGGCACACAGGTTTTCAAAATTGAATTATAAATGTAATAAAATGTCCAGTGCAGTGTGTCCCTGGCACACAATGGCACATTCACCAAATTTTCTGTAGCTCAGTACCAAATCTAAAAGCCTATAAAATCTTTCCACCAAACAAAGAAAATGCTCTAATCCTCACGTTAACTCAATGCTGACCAGCCCACTACTCATTCTGGACTCCAGATGTTGAGAAACACTCAGGAAGTACTCAAAAGAAAGCCAAAAAATTAATAGGGAAAGGTACTATATCTACTGAGTATTATTGTTCCAGACATTGTGCTGAGCGCTATGGGGGGGGGAAAAAATGTGGGTTGTGTATAGGAGAGGAATGTAATCATTTATCCTGGAAAAGGGAAAGTGAAGAGGCAATTAGTTTATTTTTTCAAAAAATAATTTTTTAAGGAATGAACTTAGTGGTTTTCTATCTCAAATAGAAAATCCTTTGCAAATTAAACTCTAAGCAACATACAAATAAAATGTGAAATAGTATTAGGTATCATCTCCACACTAAGGAGGAATATGGAGAAATAAGCTTAAATGCAGTATAAGGATATAACTGATCCACAAGAAAGTTATGTCCTTTAGAAAGGATAGTTGAAACTTAGCGGGTAGGCTGCAGATTCTCTTTCTCTAGAGGATTTTGAAAAATAAAATTAATACATATTCTCTGCCCTCTGAAATAATGTTTCAGGTCTAGTCTCCATGTGAGAATTACCTGGGGAGCTTTTTTAAAAATAATAGTTGAAAAAAATGTTACAGATTTTGATTCAGTAGGATGAGGGTATGGCCCAATTATTTGTATTTTTAAAACCCTCCTGACAGATTCTCAAGCTTCTCTCAGCTATGTATGTAACCCTGGAACACTAACGTACAAAATAATATGTGAGAGAAATATCCTTAAATTAACACGGAAAAGGGAAGCTGATGAACTGTGTTATTGAAATCATGAAATAAAATTAATGATGCCAAATTTGTCACCTGGTAAGGAAGACTGTCAACCATACACTAAGCCAGCTAGATTTTAACTCCTTGCAGGCTGGGAATTGTTTACACCTTTTGATATCCCACCTGTCTTACCAATATTTTTTACAAAATATGTGTGAGAAAATAGAACAAAATCCAATTGTAATTAGAAATGTTTTGACATTTCAAGAGACACTTGTTAACTTTTTCTTTGTTAAAAGAAATAATAGTTTTCCAACTGATATTCCAAATGTGCTAAGAGGAAAACTCAGGACAAACTGCTCACAGAGACAGCAGCAAGGGATCTTAGCAGTAAGATTCAGTGGGAGTTAGGTCTTAACAGTGGGAGCTGCTGTCCAAATGCTCAAGTTCAATAGCATCTGCCATACCTCATGAGAGATGTTTGACACACGCAGGTTGGTGCCACAGTTCTCACCATTTCTTCTCCCCATTTTGCTCCTCTGTTTCCTTAAAATCCTATACAGGTTGTCGGACAGGCACATTTATGGGTAAGGTACAACAATGATTTAAAGAAAGCATGAACTTTGGCTCCCCATATAAAGGAGGTCAAGAAAATACTTAGAAAGCAGGAGAAAGGGACTATGAGGGCAAGGTGTGGGTAACAATATAAAATCAACCAGAAACAAGGGGCAAGCTAGACCAAAAAGGGGAGGGGAGTATAGACAAAAGCAAATTGGAAGATTTGACAGAATATTAGGAAATTAAGGTCTGAAGTGAGAAAGATATTATCAGAGAGGAAGATAAAATATAAATTAGAAAAAAATATAGTGAATCATCTGGAATTTATAAAACAGGGTCATGAACTCTGCTTTTAATCATTCAGAACAGGTGCTCCATTTGAAAACGGATTAACCTTACATACACAGTCAGAGCGAGCATCCCATGTTCAGAGACACTAAAAAGCCCACAGAACCAAACACTGTTTTCCACACCAAACTATCATGGTATCTAAGTCCACTACTGTTTAAGGTAGAAATATTAGAGAACTATAAGATAACAAGTAAAGCAATCATTGGCTTAGGGTATGGCTATCTGGAAAGACTCAGAAATTAAAGCCACCACTGTAATCAGTATATTTGCTAATCGTTTATATTTTATTGTCTCCTGGAGAGAAAGGTGTATCCTGGAGAAATAGAAAATACAGTTCAGGAAGGTTTTGAATCAATAAATACTGATCCACCTGCTCAATGCCAGGCACTGGGATGGAAGCATGGAGGAGGAAGGCTGAGTAGGTGGCGCTGACCCTGGCCACCCAGGTGTGTGCCGTGGAGGAAGGCACCGGGAGCCTGGAAAAGGCCACCGTATCTGGAGGAGATGCCCAGAGACCAGGTCTCTGTGACTGGGAGTCCGGGGAAGGGGCTTTAGGGCAGAAGATTGAGGAGGTCGGTGTCGGAGGAAGGCGCAAAGCCCAGGTGTCAGAAGACCCCTCCCTCCCCGGGCTGTGGGCAGCTCTGTGGGGAGCGCGGGACAAGGGGACAGCGGGTGCGGGCTCGCGGGGGCGCCCTGGGCTCCCGCCTCTTACCCCACCGCGCCGCAGGCCCACGTGTAGTCTCCGGCGTCGTCTCCTAGGGTGCTGCCTCCCCGGGGCCCGGGCCCCTCTGCGTGCGGGGCGAACCGCTGGACTGGCGCCCCTTCCGACTCGGCCTTCCTGCAGCGGG